TGATAACGTCCTCAGCTGTGGGCCAGGAGGGGCGTAAATGGTCATCCTTTATTCTGAGGTCGGATTGCATTCAGCTTAGAAGAGCTTTGAAGGGCAAAGGGAGATATGTGTTCAGCAATATTCAACAGTATGTTATACTGAGGTTAGCAGTTTAGTTTAATAATAAAAAATATAGAATCTAAAATCTTTTAATTCAAAAAATTATCAATACATACAAAAGCCAGCTACTGTATAATTTTAGATACAGTGCAACACAAATCAGCTGTATATTACATATATGTGATCTGCACCAGCAAATATGTCTTTTTCCCCCCTGTGTAAACCCACACACTGGCAGATTGCAGGTTTGTGCATGTTGAGAGGCCACTTCCACAGTGTTGACAGGACTCAGTTTTTCACAAAAGCAGCAATTTTACCACACTTGATCCCCACATCCGCATATCCTGGAAACTGTGCCTCCACTGTCTGCATGACAGCATGTGTGCTCTGGGTGTCAATTGACACACATGAAATAGTCCACAAACACCGCCTTTGTGGTGTATTGAAGACAATGTTTTCAGTGCTTTTTTTTTGGATGCTTAGACACCATATTTTAAACTTCTCAGAACTACATCCACTGCAAACTAGAAGAGAACAGACGGGGATTTCACAGATGTTGATATAATCCAAGACTATGATCACAATAAGTGGGCCAGATGACATAACAGCAATGCATTGACTGTAGCAACAGGCTTTTATGATGTACAGTCTAAATTTACCTATAGGCAGTCATTTTTGTCAGGTCAGAGAACTGAATTGAATTCAGCTGTCCACCTCTTGAATAAACACTGCTGAAGCCATGGTGAGCTGCGGCTAAACTCCTCTAAACAATTCCCAGATATCATCCTTGCATGTCTCCAGTACAGCCTGGGGAGCTTTGTGCATCCAGAAAGCGGTGAAGCTAATGGTCGACAACCCATGAGCATTAAGACATTCATCTTCACCCTGAGTACAGGATAACTAGCTCCCTCAGTCTCACCGCAATTTAGCCAAGCCTTCAAATAATAAGTTTACCTACTGCAGTCTGCTGCGGGCCTCTTACATATCTTATTTCCCAGTGCCCTATACTCCCACTTACTGCAAAACCACTCTATTGCACAGTGGGCAATGATTTCAGACTTCCCACTCTTGCTGCTGCTTATGGGTCAGATTAGAAGGCTATTCTAATAATTTCTCTTTTGACCTATTTCCATATGCCAGATTTGACCCGTTTGCGGTCTGCTTGGGAGGCATTTGTCCCCACCTCATGAGCACATTACCATCTGGATAAGACACAGTTTCTTCCAAATATGGTTAAAATGTTATATAGTGACACCTTTCTTCTTACAAGAAGAATCGCAGTGCTGTGAAAAAATTCTGTTTATATTTTGCCATCAAGGATTAAATCCATGATGCCAAAAATTTATCGAAGTGTACGTGTTTATGTGAGTGTGTTTGCATCTATGTGAACAGTACTGCATTTGTGTATGTGTATTAATAAATAGACATACCTGTGTGTTTCTTTGAGTATATACATCTTAGGTTTAATCTGTTCTTGCACAGTATGGTTACATAATTATAGACATGTGTTTCTATATATATATTTTTATTTCACGCTGTGTGTTTAGGAGGGTTCTACTTGTAGAAACAGTTTCTAAGTCTCGAAGTAAAACAGTGTCAGGCTCTGTAATGAGGGCACCTCTCCTGTGGTTTGGCCCGATTTTAAATGGCTGCTAAACTCCTGGTTTGCAGATTGGTGGTGAATGTGAGAGTTTATACATTTGTGTATATATGGTAAATAATAAATGGACAGATACTTACATATTGACTTGCCTCTCTAGCAGAGCAGTCAAATCACTTTCCATTACACAACTTGGTCGCCCGTTGGCACACAAATGAAGACAGGCTTTTTATTCTATGCCTTTGAGAGCTTTGTGCAACATTCACACTCTGATCTGATGGATGGATCAGGGACGACCTGGGGTTCAGCATCTTGCCGAAGGACATTTTGAAATGCAGACTGGATGGGCCAGGGATCAAACTAGTGACCTCTCAATTGGTGTCTAATGTTAATGAGAGAAATTAAGGTGTGAGGAGCAGTCAACTCTCTCTCTCTCTCTCTCTCTCTCACACACACACACGCACACGCACACACACAATCGTGTTTTAATTTCTTAGTAGAGACATCTAATCGACATAATGCTTTCCCAAGCTGCTTCCCCTCAAAAATAAAAATGAATGCCTGATGCTAACCCTTGGCCTAAACCTAACCATAACCTAATTGTAAGTCTGACACTAAAACCCCACTGTGAGTCCCACAAATGCCTTCAAACTCATGGGGAGAGGCATTTTGTCCCCATAACGCTGTTGGTCCCCACAAGTACACACACACACACACACACACACACACACACACACACACACACACACACACACACACACACACACACACACACACACAAAGAGATGCCCTAACTAAAGTAACATTATTGATTATTACCCAAATTATTTTTCATCTTTCCCTAATGGTTAATCCACCAGTGAGCTCTTTAATTGAAATTATATTTTTGATGCAAAAACATCGTCATTGTTGCTATTCATTAAAAAAAGCAGAAAAAACAGTTAATACATTATTATTTTTTTGATTAATATGTAAATTGACAGTGATTTTCTTCCATTCTTGAACAGACAAATTAATTTTAGTTAAAGGTTATGCTTTATTAATTTCTAATTTGTTAGAGAAGTCCAGTATGCTAGCTCGAATGTGGGTATAAAAATCTGAATTTGGGTCAGTAAATTCATAAACTTACATGTTTTTATCACTTACAGTTCAACAGCAGTGCAAAGATTGATGTTGTATTGCTGCAAGTGCCTTTGTACTGAAGTCACTTTTTTTCATCATCCTAATAATCTCAGCCATTCTCAGCAGTTCTTGCCTAACTTGTGATGTGTACCCTAGCAATTTTCCTCATATAAAAACACTAAAATCTATAAAATATTCCCCTAAAAAAGCACACTGTTTTGTTGACACAAAACGTTAGTTTCCTGTGTGTGTGTGTGTGTCTGTGTGACTGTGTGTGTGAGTGAATGCATATCACATTTATTAAGTGTCACACATACACTGTACGTGTTAAACTACTCCTGCAGTGACACGTTGAATCCTTATTAGCTGCAGACGCGCTGTTCTGCAGCTAAGCCTGCACACTGACTTCTCTGTTAGTGCCAGTAAGTGAAAAGTATTTTGTCTCTAATCAATAAACACAACACCGTTATTAACAAAACTTGATCTTATATCTTTAAATCTCTGCACAGAAGGGTCACACTGCATTTTCAGGCACACACATACACACTGATAAAATACTAAGCCGATTGTTATCTGATGTATTCTTTTCTAATGTTACCACATGTCCCTGTGGCCGGAGGGCTCCCTGGAGATTTACACTATTTCTGGATGGGCCAGATTGTGGATTTCTTTCTCTGTAGTGCTCATAATCAATTGCATGGCTGCACAATTGAAGCACTGAAGTCTTTTCTTGCAGAAGATAATGATACTTGCAATCATGAGAAACCAGTTGTGAAATAATTATCAGGAACTGCTATTTACAAAATGAAGTATTGAATCCTGAGAGTGACTGCACAATGTGGCCAAGCTAGATGAAATCTGTGTTTTTTGGGGTTTTTTTTTTTTAGTTTTTGTTATTAATTTTCTGGCCCAACAATTCATTTCTTCTGTGAAACGGGTCTGAATGGTAAAATATAATGACATTCATTGGGTTAGAGGTCCATTGCTGTGATGAAATCCCTCATGGCCTGGTTTTCAACAGAGACTCCTCTTCATGACAGGGATCTGTTGAAGTAAAACATATTCAGATCAAAAGTGTCTACAAAGGACTTCAGAGAAAGAAACGTTGAAGCTCAAAGCACTGAAAATGTCAATGACAGGAATGGTGAAAGACCCAGGCCTCAATCAATCAACGGCCAGGAATAAACATGGAAAAAGTGGAGAAAAATTCAATTTGATGCTACTTTTGCTTTTTGAAGGTCTAGATATTCTGCAAAAGTTCTGTCAGGTTGCATGTATTATTCAAAAAAGTGTCAAAAAGCATTGCATTGTACTGCATTTGTGCCATCTCTTACACACATCAGAGTACCCATGGAAAGATAAAACAGCTGAAACCACTGCCATCCAAAGACAAATCATCTTAGCTCACCTTATCCTAGTCTCAGAAGAGCTGGATTCTCTGTGGAACAGAGCTCTGTGGTCAAATGAGGCATATTTCTAAAGTTTTTAAGAAAAAACTGCATGCCAACATGTCACCTTCACTCCATGCATTGAAGCCTCAGGGCTTGCGCATATTGCAATCATTTCGGAAACAATTAATTGAGTCTAAACTGTTTCGGTAGGAAGGGTATTGGGATAGCTGCTTGTAATTTCAAAGTTGTAACTTTTGTTTTACAGTTTGATAATTGCCCTTAACACAAAGAGCAATCAGTAACTCTTAAAGTAAAAAAAAAAAAAAAAAAAAAAGGGCATTCACATTCCTGACCTTAAACCAATTAAATTCCTGCAGCATGACCTCAAGCAAGCCATGCATGTGAGGCATTCCAAAAATACCAATTAACTCCAAATTGCTGAGTAAAGAGTAATTGTGCAGAATAGCTGCTATTTGCTGTTTCTAGATTAGAGGTTAGATAAAACATTTGGATGAAGATTATTTCCACTAAGGTAACTAAGCTTAACAACCGATAAATTGCTATAGCTAGTTAAAATTTACCAACACATACCTCAACACACCTACATTTCCTTCCTCATTTCAAGTGAATACAACATTTGTGATAATCATGTTGCACGCACAGAGCATGAAGCTTTTGCAGGCCTTGCATTATGTGTGCTGTTTTATTATTCTAATTGCTGGAGGACGAAAACTGTCTGCCACGACATTGCTAATGTTCATTTTAATCATGTGTGTTCTTCTTTCCAGCTCTAACAAATGTGAAATTGTGGGCCATTGACCGACAATGTTTTCAGACGATCATGATGAGGACGGGTTTAATCAAGCACACAGAGTATATGGAGTTTCTGAAAAGGTAAGGAAGCAAGGCAAATTTTCCAGCAGCAGCAGAAGAGTGGAACAGGTCTTTGATCTGCAAAGCAATGAATGAATTACCAAAATGAATTCAGGAAAATGTGTGTGAGCTGTTTCGCAGATGATCCCTTACTCCTCCATTTTGCCAATAATTATATAACTCAGCAATTATTTCTAGTGCAGCATAGGGAATGTCATTCAACATACTAGAAAAAAATCTTGTAACTGTATCACCATCATCGTTTTCAGTACTTATCTGTATCAGAGGGCCCTGACCAATAATCACTTCTCTATTGCCAAACCTATTAACACTTAAAAGACCTGCGCATGCTTTTTCGGGGTTCTGCATGAGGTATAGGATAAAAGGAAGAGGCATCAAAAGACAGCCAATGATCAAAATGCATGAGATGCAATTGCCTTTTAAATATCTCTCACTCTCTCTGCATTCAGCTTCTTTTTTACTATCATCCACTTTGAGCTTCATCAACCCAGTTATTAAAATTATATCATACCTTCACTCTGCTGCGTGCACCCCACACTATTTTTTGTTTTTTTATCATGACTTTTTTGGCAGAGTCGGTATTTGATCTGTGTCCTCTCATCCATTCACTCTGCCACAATTTTGTATAAATCTTCCAAATCACGAAGGCACATGTTCTCTCTAAAAGACTTTTCTCCCGAGGAAACCTTGTGAATCACTGTGATCATGATCAGGTTCTGTCAGTCCTGAGAGAGATGCAGTACGAGCTATTTTAAGTATTGGGCACAGTGCACAGGAAGGAAGCTTTTTACAAGGTATTTCTAACAAGTGCAAAGCAAGTTGTATGTCAGTATGTTCCAAAACAATCAATTCTGCTATTGTAGAATTTACTCAACTATGACTGTGCAACTTCACAGTGTACAGTAATGGAAGTATAGTTACTTTAAATATAATCTTTAGCTAAGGCTCAATGTTTTGGATAAAAACAAACAAATTTTTTTTTTTTTTTTAAAAAGGTAGAAAATGTTGTCTTTAACAAATTTAATTAGATGCAAATTTTGCAACATAGACACAATGCTGGTATACATTCAGGTTATTTAAAGCATATTTTCCTCAGTGAATAATTATTTGAAGAAATCTTTTTTTAAATTTTAGTTTAAAATGTAATTTTTGAACAGGAAGTCTCTTTGATAGTTTCAGTTAAACCAAAAACATTTTGCAGCTTAACTGTAACGACTGCTTTTTTTCCCTGCTTAAAATAGGACAGTCAGTATCCCTGCAGTCACAAAGATATTGCAAGTCAGCAAAGCTTTTGAACAGCATGACTTTTTTTCTTTTTTTAAGGACAGTCTCCCGCTGGTCACTCAGAATAAATTCATTTCTTATCTGGAGTGCAGTTTCATGATAAAGCCAGACTTTAAGACAAACACAACCAAGAATCTATTTTAACCACATATGGAGCCCTATTAATATTTCATCTAAGATGTATCTATTTTAGTGATATCGTTTACTAATAAAGACCGCAAACATTTGCAGTCCCTCTGCTGAGTATATTAGCACACACTGTTCAGTATAACAGCTCTTGCCTGTCAGGAGGACTTATGTAACAGTCCAACTGATAGACTAAGTAAATATTTAATAGGTGTACGTACTGGTTGTTTTGGGATCCCTTGGTGTGTTTGGTTTGTAAAGGGATACCTGGGGGGAGAAATCTGAGATTTATAACAGTGTTTGCAAACTCACAGCACACAGATAATTATGTTCCTGTTTAATTTCCTAGAAACAGATCTAATGAAAGTAATAAACACATATTGGTCACCGTGAGTTTTGTGCCCACCCGTTTAACTGCTGTGAAATTATAGAATTATTCCGACAAACAGAGAAGAAGAAAAACGGGCAAAGAAAGCCCCACGTTGTGCACGGGGGAATTGAGCGCGCTTGTGAAGATTGTTTTATTATTTTTTCTTTACATGTACAGACAGGTGACATATGTTTAAGTAAGATGATGAGCCAAAAGCTTAAATCTGCATTGATAATGATTCTGAACAACTCTGAATCTCTGGTACTTTACTGAAGGGATGAGCTGCATTTTTTCAGAAGATAATTCCTTTTGATGTTTTAATAATAATGCTATAGAGAGCATTGTCTAACATATTAGTCTCTGTGGATAGTCTGGTAACTATGAAGTGCATAGTACATTAATTATTTTTATTCCCATCAAACCATTTAGTGTTTTTGTATTTCTCAACCTAAGTGAGTTTGTCCTTTAATTCGTTACCTGCCTGTGTTTTAAGTTTCTTATTGAGTCGCTCCAGGAAAAGTAATTTCAAAGCTTAGCTTTTTTGAAAAACTCGCCCAGCTTTAGAAAATGCACATTTCTATGAACTGATGTATTGTGGGCTTTTATTGAGATCTCTGTCCCCTTTCACTTCAGATAAAAGTCCAGCTATCAGGAAAACAGTACCTATTTGTAGGTGTTTACAGGATTCTAATAGAAAATTGTTTAAAATGGTATGCTTTATAACTGCACAGTCCCTAAAGCATGGCAGATCCACGCTTCCCCACAGGCCTTGTGTAATTACTCAGCTGTAACATAATTAAGCTGTTGAATCAGAAATTTACTGCGACAGACGCCTTTTGTTTGTGTCAACAGCTTCTCAGCTCGGGGGATTGAAACTCTCTCTGTTGCATGTACAGTAAGTGTCATGTGTTCATTGCTGAGCTGGTTAACTAGTGCCTTTGTCGGGGAAGCAGTAACACAAGGATCAGCACAGTGGCCGTGACAAGATGGTTTAGATTACTGTAATAAAGCATGGAAAATTAAGGGGGAGGGGAGATGGAGAAACAGAGAGGCAGAGCGAGAGAGTGAGACGATACGGGGAGATAAGCCCTTTGTTCACCAACGCGGGGTTATTTTCTCTCCTCCTTGATAAACATTAGGCTAGTTTTATTTAGCAGGGTTGATAGCAGGCAGCATTCATTCAGGCTGCCAGGAAGTAATGGAACAAACACTACGGGCTCATACTGGCGTATTCAACCGTAGGATGTGATGCCCAGCTGTGTAACTACTCATGCTGCCCATTTATGCTGGAAAATAGTACTAAAATACAGGCCATACAATAGAAAAATACAGATTTTGAGTGTTCCTGCTGCCTATATCTGAATTTGTTTGTTGGTTCTCAGATCAAAGTCATGCTGTGATTGAACAAAGTATGTCTAAAAATAGGATGAAAAAAAATAATGATACCACACAGGAAGCAATAAAAAGCAAAAACTTGACAGTCACATGATAGCATTTAGCCAATAGAATAAAACATTAAAAAATATGCTGACAACTAACAATTTTAGAGCCTTTATTTGAGTGCATGTTTTGTGTTGGACCAATGCAGCTGTTTTATGTTCTGCTTAAAGTGGTGGAAAAACTAGCAGAAATAAAAGCAATTCTTTCCAGGAAAACTAACATCTAGTTGATGGCTTGTATAACAAGATGGATTTTTATTTTTGTTTTTCTAGGTTAAACCGAATCATGCCATGAGAATGAAGACATTTTGATGCTTAGTTGAAAGAGAGTGTCTCTGAGCTCTTTGATTGCTTATGTGTATCCTATCCAAAGGGCACCTCAAACAAAAACAGTCTGAATCCTGGAAGTACTCCCACTCAAATCCTCTATTTCTGGTGAACTTTTGTTGATATCCACTGTTGAAACAATATGACATATTTGGAGAACAAACATTTGACAAGGAGCCTACAGATAAAATGAAATACTTAACACTAATAGAACATTTAGCTTTGGCAACAAGTCATATTTATAATTTGTAATACTGTGGCCAAGGAAGTACACCCTTGGCCTAAGAAGTATTACAATAGTTTCTTCTTAAACAGAAATAACTCATTTAAGTAGGCGTTTTTTTGTGTGCATGCACCAGAATCAAGACACCCACAATTGATCTTTCACTGAGGCTCTCCATAACTCACCTTTTCTTTGGTGAATATGCTAGCGTGCTTAGGATAAGCATCCTCTTGAAAAGGGCAGTTTCAGCTTCAACTTTTGGACAGATGGCCTAGCACATTATCTTAAAGCACTCTTTCATTTGATGCAAAACTGAATCAGTGAATCAATCCCTGGAGCAGCAAAGCAAATCATAACAATTTCAACACTGTGCTTGAAAGATGATAGACAGCTTTTCTCTGTGAACATTCTAGGGCTGCATGACACGTATCCACTGTACCCAAACACCTGCACTCTTTTTCAATCCCCTTACAGCATATGAATGTGTCACCTTCATGTCTGAATGAGCACCCTGGCCACTTTTCTGTAAAAGTCAGGAGAGCAGTTCAACTTTTTCACACTTTGTGTCCCTTTCAGCATGCATAATCACCTTAAATGATGAATATGAGTTGCACAGCTCACTAAAAACGTCATTGTTCAAATTCTTTGTAGCTTGTGATAAAAGTAAGAGATTTTCAAGGCCCCAAGTGCAAGTTGTCTTTTGTACATTTAGCAAATATTGCCCTTATAGGAGATCCCAGGTGCTCTTCCTGACTGTGTAGGTATGTCTGAATGAGCCCGAATAAACCTTTCAGGAACATTAAGTTAAAGTGACTTTTCTCTCTAATGTTATTTATGTTAATGCAAATTTATGCAGACTCATTGTGATTGTAGGCACATGCAACCAACAAACCTGTCAAATGTTTCATGAAATTTTTGAGTTCTTGCTTTTTTAAAAGACATGTAAAATATGAAAATGACAACTTTATGTTTCAGGGGGGGTTTTTTCAAAGAGGATCAAGATTTTTCAAATTTATTATTTATTTTTGCTCACAGCTTCCAAAAGGATATGCTTTCTTCCCTCAGCTTTATACTAAGCCTCCAGCTACACTGCTTCCTACAACTTTTTTTTTTATCTAGAAAAAAACAGAGGGCTAATTAGTAATATTCACTATGCGTGAAGCTGTGTATTCTCTCATATAAAAGCCCTTCTTTTTTCTTCTGCAGCGTCCCCTCATTCCACGGCCTACAGGAAGATATTCTGAGCAAGCTCGCTGATGTCCTTGAGGAGGTAAGTACCTTGTTGTGTGTGACATCTGCAGCCTACTTCTGACATGTCAAATGATTTTCATACATTCAGACTCTCCTATTGTGGTGAGAGGGGGGGAGGTGAAAATGATTCTAGAGGATGTGCACAATAGAGATTATTTTGGGTGCTAGGTGGGACAACCTGTACACAGCTGGGACTTCAGAGTACTGCTGCTCTTTGGTACCTGCTCGGTGTGAGATGACTATCTAAATTTTTCACTTACTAGGGGAGGAATTTCTGGAAATCAGTCCAGTAGAAACCATTTCAGTCTTCTCACATGAAGACATATATATATATGAGAAGGATAGGAGGATCCAAGGATCGTTGAGTGCGAGAGGAGCTGACCTGAAGGATAGGATCATGGCCAAGCTTGAAACCTGGATCCCCCATAGCCGGTTACCAAGACTACGTGAAGTACCCTCAGAAGGTCTGCTAGATGATGTTAATGCAGCACTTCGGACGATACCTACAGCTACCATTACCGAGACTAACAAGTTGATCTACAATACGGCAGCAGTGATCAGTGAGATGCTTGGCTACAAGTTGAACAGCCACAAGGGGCAGTACCCTCCATGGAGAGGGAGGCTAGAGGCTAAGATCAAGGTAGCACAGAGGGAGGTTCGCCAACTATTGGAGTTGCAGAAAGGTGCGATGAAGAAGGTGTGTAAGAAGTACAGGAAACTGTCCATACCTGAGGCCTTGGAAACTGCCAAGCAACGACTCATAGTCTTTGCCAGCCGCTTAAAGAGGTACAACAGACAGATAGAAGGCAGGAGAATAAACCAGCTGTTCCCACAGAACCAGCCGAGGTGTACTCTCAGTGGCAGGGGAACAATATGAGAACAGCACCACCAAGGCGGGAGACGGAACAATACTGGAACAGCATTTGGGAGAAGGATGCAACACATAACGGCAATGCTCAGTGGCTAGTGGATCTGAGGGCAGACCACAGCAACCTCCCTGAACAGGGTCCAGTAAACATCACAGTGGCAGATATCCAAGAAAGGGTCTCCAATATGAAGAGTTGGACATCACCAGGCCCCGACATGGTTCATGCTTACTGGTTGAATAAGCTGACTGCACTCCACGAGCGTCTGGCAGCACAAATGAAACAGCTGCTAGTTGACGAGAGACACCCAGAATGGCTAACCGAAGGTCGGACGGTCCTGATCCCCAAGGACCCCAAGAAGGGACCGGTCCCCTCCAACTACCGACCAATAACCTGCCTCAGCACCACGTGGAAGCTCCTGTCAGGCATCATAGCGGCTAAGATGAACAGGCACATGGGTCAATACATGAGTGGGGCACAGAAAGGGATGGGCAAGAATTTTTTGGAGTTTTTAGTAGAGTTTTTAGTTGGGTAGCATCCAAAAGCTGACAATTATACATTTGTTTATGAAGTCTAGAAATTAGTTCCAATCAACATGACAAGCAATCATCCATGTAGCGCTGCACACAGACTAATTTTTGTTTAAACCCGTGTTTAAGTGCTGTCAAACACTGAACTACTTTTAATATCAGTGTCAATTTATTGTTTCATACCATTTGAAATTCACTAAAAATAACAAACATAACAAATAAACAGTGCATTGTATTTATTTTGAAGCCTCCACTTCATTTGTAATTATAGTCATTGTTGTTATTACTTAAAATGTAAATGTTTGCAAATATTATGCAGAAACGCAAAATTATCATACAGTAGATAATATGCCTTAATATATGCGACAACAAGCTAAGAATAATAAGAATAATTAATATTTTTTAAATATATAGCAACAATTACGAAAATAAAATACAGTATATAACTGTTTGTAGGTATGTGTGTTGATAACAGAAATATTAGTTCATGCATCTCAGCTGATAGCTGTTCAGTAGAAATGATATTTGTTGCTATAGCTGAAACATGAACAACATTGCCCTGCAAAGCAGTTACAAAGCAAATATTAACAGATGGGATAAAAATCATTCCAGAATTTATAACCTCTAAACCTAAAACTGACCTCTACAAGTGAGAAATGTAGGAAAATAAAGATGTAGAGACGATGAGATGAGAATGCACCTGTGAGTTAACATTAACATCAGCGATATTTTCCTTCACTTTAATATATCTCATGAATAAAAAAAACATAAAATAGATATTCATGTAATAAATAATAAGAACCTCCAGTTTCCAAAATAAAGAAACCGGTGGGATATATGACTCTGAATGGATTGTAGTCCTAACAAAACATTTCTGGAGGTTCAGAAATATGTGGAGAGTAACGGGAAAAGATTCTCCGAAACAATATCACAAGATGAAAGGCAGGGATAAATTAAACTCTAATAAAGAGTAAGGAGACAGTTTGTCTACGACAGCAAAGTCAATAAGAAATATTGCACGAATTTATAGTTTACAAGAAAAAAAAGATGGAAAAATTGAAAATATCAAGGTCCAGTACGGTTTTGAGTTTTCTTTCCTTGTGACTGCAGCTGTTGACTTTACAAATGTTTTGCTAATAAAATTTTAGGTTTGGCACTGATTTTTATACCAGACACCCCTCCTGATGCTATCCATTTATCTGGGCTGCACCAGCAGTCAGAGCACACTGTTTGTGAACTTGGGACCTTTTATGTGCTAGCTAAACATTCTAACTATCAAAATACATTCAACTTTCACGTCTATTTATGCTGCTATATTTTTGTCTAAGGAATGCTGGATAAATAAAATGGTGAGGAAACCTGTGAAAGTTGGCAAAAACATTGTGTGCTTCCATAGTGTAAAAGGTTAGCATGTTCACCTCATAAGCAAAAGGTATGATTCACAGTTGGGAGGAAGCACAAAGCCAACTTTGTGCAGGGGGTAACAAGCTAGTGTACAACCCAGGCTGTCCCAAGCCTGGATAAATGGGAGGGTTTCATCTGGTGTAAAAATATGTGCCAAATCAAATATGCAGATCAGCCTGCTGCTGGAAATAAAAAAGCACATGGAAAGACGTTTCTGCTTGTTGATACAGAATTTTATGGCTAACCTCGCAGGAATGTTGTACTTAGGTGAACAATAAAAAAAATCAGGTTCTAAAGCAAAGCTAGCAACAAGTTAAGAAAGCTCGAAATTCTATTGAATCATATCAACTTAATATTTTGTGTTTTATTTATTTATTTTTACAGTGTACAGTGTATAAACAGAAAGAAATGCTGCTAGGATTAACGCTACAGACAGCAGTCTTGATTTGATCAAGAATAACTATTTTGAAATGTAGTTATTTACACCATATTTAAATTGAAAACCAAGCCTATGTGGTGACAGGTGGCACATCTGTGGTGATCCACGCAGCCTTGTCAAAGAACCTTTCCATCTCTTTGATCAAATCACAACTATGTAACAGGCACAAACTGTCTTGCTACCATTTTAAATTATGTGTCATATTTCATTTGGCCCATTCAGGCCAAAGCAAATATCATATTTCACTGGGTCACATATTGATTAAATCAATTATCCTGCCCTACCGCTTAGACTAGTTATGAAAGATTGCTTTGGTTCATGACTGAGCTTTGGTTATTTGGATCTATTTCTTTTTTTCATCTCAACAATAATAAATAAACCTGAACTAACCGACGCATAACGACTTCAACATGCTGCGGACTACAAACTGTTTTCAAATGACACACGGCAGACAGGAATGTCTCTTCCTTAAATAATACACAGCAGACAGGAATGTCGCTGCTTAGTGTAAGGCGTTAGGCACCTTTCCTGGGTAAAATTGTGTGAGAATGAAAATCTGGCAAATGTCAGTCCCACTGTGGAGTCTATTTATGATCTAACAGGAACTATTGAGCTCTGTCTTTTGTCTAGACTTGTGGCCAGATGTGCAGCATTGTGTGTATTTTGCTGGAGAAACAGTTTATTGTCCTTCTGTTATTGTTCTGGATCATACAGCAAACATCATAATTTGATATTCAATTATTTCCATGATGCCAACTGTTATATAAAGTATTTAGTATAACCTAAGAAACTGGCCTTGGAGAAGAAGCATTATCTTCCTCTAGAGGTTTTCAACACAAGCCATGAACGTGAGTGTGAAAGTCCTTATCTACATGTGTGAGATGGAGCCTACTCAGTTCATGCTGCAACCATTCCAGCACCCACAACCCACAAGCATATCCAAGCAAGTAGTGGGTGGAAAGAAGCAAAATACCCTGGATAGTTTGCCAATCTGTGATTTTTAACAAGAAAAAAAGATATCTAATTGTGATTTATATCACTGCACCCAATTCAGGTTTTCCTCCTCTGAAGAGTACTTTTTGTCTCTGGTGAGAGTGTTTCACTTCCAGTATAAGAAAAGAGACAAATTAATTACATTGAACCTGAACTTCACTTCACTTCACTTCACTTCACTTCTCTTCTCTTCTCTTCTCTTCTCTTCTCTTCTCTTCTCTTCTCTTCTCTTCTCTTCTCTTCTCTTCTCTTCTGACAGACACATTATGAAGACGGAGAGTACATCATCAGACAGGGGGCCAGAGGAGACACCTTCTTCATCATCAGTAAAGGAAAGGTAAGGACAGTGCGGTCCAGACTACCACCAAAACAATCATCAGCTGACATCACAATGCAGGGCATCGTGGTACATGGAGAATAAAAGACCCCTATTTTTTGATAGAATGGGGTGGAATTTTTGGGTGGAAGTTGGCTGTCATCAATCACCATAGGTTAAAGGAGAAGTCAGAAAGAAGCGCTGCCTCTTTCATCATCTCTTTCAGCAGCGACGGGGGTATCTTGGAAGGAGAATGGAGTCATTTGACTCCACTTTTCAGTAATCAGCACTGAGTTTCACACTGAGCACTGTCCTGTCTGGCTTCAACACTGTTGGAGTGCTTTCACATACTTTTCGTGAACATGTTTTGATGCCAGGATGGCTGCAAGTCTCCCTCCTCATTTTCTCTCTGCTTGTTGTCTTCATCTTCTCCATTCATTTCCTGTGCTTCCTTCACAGCTTGTTTCCTGTCTGTTACATCCACAAGCTCGCATGCTGTTTGTTTTCAGCAGGTATGACCACAAATTGATCAATCAGTGACACCTGACAGGGTTTTATAATGCTCGTCCAACAGTTCGCGTCCTCTAACCCCTACTATCACCTTGTTTTTTGGTTCGATTAATAATTTGGTAGAATTTGTTTTATCCAATTATGTTTCCTTCGTCTGGTCCCTTACATCCACAAAATGTAGATGGTACATGGTTTGTAATCTCACCTATACATCATTTGTATCATTTATAAATTGGGTAATGCTGTAATAAGAATGTGTTAGTAATATTTTAGTGCTTTATAATCCTAGTATTTTCCAGTAGTTCACATATGTGAGATGTGAGTGCTTTTGTTCCGTCCTGTTTTGTGTCCTTTTTCTTTGTACCTTACTTTGGCAGTAAACAAAAGCTGTAAATTTCACAAGGTCAGTAAAGTCACGTTGCACAACAGTATGGTCATGGATGTGTGGGTGCAGGAATGAACTCACATACATACATACACACCTGACCTTGTCAATGCTTTCTGCTTAGTTATTTCCACATCGCTCACTTTGGCTCTGTGTAGTCTACTTTACCTATAGGACTTTCATCCAGATTGGACGTCACCCAGCGCGCACACAATCACACTTTGTACCTCCTGTACTTCCTTTCTTTGTTTTGTGCCTGCTCCCACGTGAATAATTACGCTGTCACTCAGGTGTAGACAGTGCGCCGGTGCAGGATTTGCTGCTACATCTGTGCTGACTAATGGATGAAGACAAGATCCTTCAATTGACGAAACAATCGCCTTCATTCCCTTCCTCTAAAATCTACTCAGCTGCCATCACTTTGATTTGTAAAGTTTTCCGGCCCAGCAGAGCCCCATCACTCATGTTTCTTCTTGCTCGTGGCGCTTCCCAGATTCTTCATGGTGATGACAGTTACCTGTTTGAAACAGACTTGCGTTACAGTAGTGCTTCCTTTTTGTTTGTAGCAATGTGATGAACCTGACATTTTAAGACATGATTCCCTGTCTTGTCTTTAAATTAAAATGTTATCCATCTTTTTTTCTTGCTACACATCTACATGACATACATTTTCACTATTCTTCTCCTTAACTTTCCTTTCTGTTTTGCTAGGTTAATGTAACCAGAGAAGACTTGCCCAACGGAGAGCCTGTCTACCTCCGCAGCCTCGGAAAAGGAGACTGGTTTGGAGAGAAAGCACTGCAAGGGTAAGAGTGTTCCTAATAATTCTGCCGCTTCCAATTTATATCTCCCGTCTTCCATTCTTTCACTGCTTTCCTTCTAATTTTCACTCCCAACCTGTCTTTTATATCTTTTGTCTTAGTGTTAACTTGGCACTTAGCCTCCAACTCCTATCAATCTCCTTTCTTTCCGCAACTCACTCTTTTGAACAGCCTTGATAACTTGGCAAATGTTTGGAATTGCTTAAAGCTAGGCCATATTATGATAATTGATTTACTCTAGCTGTTCAAGGCAAATTTTCCACGCATGAAAGAAGAATTATTTCTCTGGACCGAAGGAAGCTTGTTAAATATGATATGAGAAAGAGTTTAAATCCACATGTCTTTTTTTATGCATTTCAGTCTATATTAAGGCGCGTTTTGATCCACAGTTGCTACTGTGAGCATTCTAATTTGTTTGGTTATGTAATAATTTTCCCATCTGCGTAAACAGCAACAACTATCTGCAGATGCAGCTATTTCACCTCCAGCCCCTTTTTTGAAGACCGTATAAATAAGCGCACATGCAGTGACTGTGGCACAATCATGTTTCTCAAGTTCTATTTTTGCCTAAATCGAGAAGGGGGTATGTTTAAGTGACAGCGGAGATCCCTCACAACAACACCGAGTGACAGCCTGTCTGTGCTATTTTGCACACACTGATGTCACTCAGAAAAACAACAGGGAAAAATCATTTATTGGGAGTAGGGTGGTGTTTGTCACAAAAGTATGCACTACCAATTCAAGTCTCATTTCATTTGAACAGTATTATCTAGCTTCTTTTCCTCTCCATTCTGTTATCAAGGATATCTCCATGATGTCCTTGGCTGTATTAATGAATTTCTGCACTCTTTCGTGAACATTTGCTATTAGCAGCTGTAATTCACACAGTGTATGTCGACTTGGAACAAACAGATATAAAACGAGATTACACACTTCTAACATTACACCACTTTGTACGTTATAAGTCTGAACCAGCAGTGTGGATTCTAGCTGTGAAGATGTCCCACAGGTCAGTTTTAAGTAACTATATTTAAAAATGATTCATGTCTGTTTCTAACATTTGGTTTGCTCAAAGTGCTCAAATACTTTCACTGTAGACACTTAGATGTTATAACAGTATTTTATAAACCTGGCGTCAAGACCATTGTGCTGAAGTGATATTTTTACCCTGCTGTTTGCTCTTCCTTGTCAGGATTGCACCTCTCCATGGACAATGGATTATTTAACATCAGGGAGTGAAGAGATGGAAAATAGTCTGAAGTGTATTATGTCTATGAGGGTCAGGTAGAAACAGAGAAGATATGCATTCATGCATGCACATTTGAGTGTGTCCATACTTAGACAGCAGAGTTAGAAAAATAATGAAGATGTCGCCATCTTGTGGCTGCTGAATGTGAAAGCCACATAAAAATCAGCGCTCAGACTCATCGGCACTTGAAAACACAGACCGAATCAAAGCAGCGTGCTGTGGAAAAGAGATTTTATGTCAAAATAATAAATATAATGTTTATTATTAAAAGAAATAATTTCAATCAGGTTTTGATGAGTTTTGATGGTGTGCCAACATATAAAGATAAGGGGGTTTTCCTGACTGCACACATTTGTCATTTGTTTCTATCGTGGCTAGAACAGAGGAGTTAAAATTGAAGATGCCTTGATCCCGTGCTTTATCAAAGTATCACATGACCTGTGAATAAATTAATGTAAACTTAAATTTAAATGAAAAGTCTTTTCTTTTAGACATATAACAAGTTAACAAGGGTTGTCATTGGCCTCCAGGCTGCACTTTGAGAACACTGGCTGCTGGATGATATTCAGACAGCAGCTTGAATTGCACAGATGGTTGGGCTTTCCCTAAATGTAAAAGCTAATGACTAAAAGATAAAAGATGACAGAGCATTAAAATGCATGTGGGACATGTTAGGCATGGAAAGCTTGATTTCTTAGGGGAGGGACACGTCTGTTGTTGTTTTGAAGTAGACATTTTTTAATGTTTTACGCACATGCATTAAAGCTAAAAGTGCTGTTTGTTGAGTAAGAATCAAACACAAAGCTCTAACACATCATGAATGTAGCAGCTATTCTGATTTTGAGGAATTCGGCGACTTCTTTTAAGTGCTGCTAAAATTATGTAATGGAAAAAAAAAGTTTAATCACCCTGATGATTTTCACCATTTAATAATTAGTTATTATTAATCTCTGGGTCTCTGGCACAGCGTGTCTTTTGTCCCGTCTCCTTGCCTCAACCCCAAACAGTCGCAGTCAATGGCTTCGCTTGCCTGATCCTGGTTCTGTTGGAGAGTTTTTCCTTTTAAAAGGAAGTTTTTCCTTCCCACTTGTCACGGTACTGGGTCGTGTGACCCAGTGTTTGAGTTTTATTTATTTTTTTGTATTCATTTTCAATCTAGTTAAATTCTAGGTTGCTGTTCAGACCTTATTTCTTAGTTATTTCTGTCATCTCTGCCTGTACTCAGTCTCCGTGGTTCCTGCGTCTATGTTTCATGTCTATGTGGTTATGTTAAGTTCATGTCATGTTTTATCTCCATGTCTATGTCTCCGTGTTTCCTGTTTTATTTTGTAAGAGTCTGGTGTTCTTTGTTCATTGTAGTTAGTGTTACTCTCCCCTGTGTGTTCTCATGTGTCTCCACTTCCCCTGATCACCTCATGTGTGTATTTAAGTCCTCAGTCTTCCTTTGTTCGTTGTCGTGTCATCTGTGTACCTCCCCTCTGGTCAAGTTAGGTGTTTTTCAGGAGTCTGTGCAGTTCATGTTTGCCATTTGGTTTATGTTGTTTTTCATGCAGCCGCATGATGACGTTCCGTGCAGGTCATGTTCATGTCTGTTTTCGTCACGCCATTTGGTTCACAGTTTCCATGCATCTGCACAGCGTTCTGTTCACGGTGGTCATAGTTTTTCCTTTCAGTCAGGTTAGTGTTTTTCCAGTTTAGGTTTTTGGTTAGTTGTAGTCTCTCCCTGTTATGTTTTGTCTACTCCATTCTGCATCAGCCCAAATAAAGGCTCGCTTTCAGTTTAAGTTCACTCCCGTCTCCTCGCCTGTGTTCGCGCCTGGGTCCACCACACACACTCTCCACACGGTCTGCCCCCGCTGGCCGTGACACCACTGTCACCAAGTGCTTGCTCATAGGGAGCTGTCTGATTGTTGGGGTTTTCTCTCTATTATTATAGGGTCTTTACTTTACAATATAAAGCACCTTGAGGTGACTGTTGATGTAACTTTAAATTAATTTAACAGGATTTAATTGAAGTGCAGCATATGCTTAGCATTAATATTATCCATGATTCATTACTCATATCACTCATTTGTTGGGAGTGAGGGTTTTGCACATGGACTATACAGCAGGATAAATAGTCAGTGGTTATCACAATATACTTTGAAATGTTGTGCAGTTTTGAAAGCTCTTCAAAGCATGCTTAAGAGCATCTTGTGCTTTGTTTAATCAAGAGAAACACTTTTGTTCAACAAACTGCTATCTCCGGCTCACTGTCTCTTGTTATAAACACCTTTTGTCTTAGAGTGTCTTGAGCTGGAGAAGCTTATTTGACTATACCTTTGATGGTCAAGGGTGTCTCGCGAATTGAAAGGATGGAGATGCTGGCCATCTTGGAACTAGGCTTTTGATCAGAGGGCTCTTCTGCTGGGCTTTCTAATCTTTCTAATTAGGAGTTAACTGTGCATGTCCTTGCTCATGAAACTCAATAGCCTATACTCAAAGGCTACTCTGTCCATCTGAAGACGTTGCCTTTGATCTGTGAGAACAACATATTTACAAATCAAAGTCAGTTCCCCTGCCAGCTATAATGGTTTGCGAGAGCTTGTGTGAGTGCTGGCGTGAGATGTGTATACGTTAAGGCAGTAGAACAAATATCAAATTATTCTCTAAGGGGCTTGCACATCTATAGGCCCTGAATGACTACAATATATATGTACCTCTTCGCAGTGATGGATGTTCCGGGAAGAGACGCACTTCGAGGGTGATATGTTGTTTGTACTTAAGGAGAACATATCTGATATCACATTCCTCATGTCACTGTGATGTGTTAACTTTCATTGGAGGAGTTGGACCATCACCTGCATAGACAATGTGTGACCTGACCTCCAACTCCTGAGTGTATTTTGTGTGGGTATGGTTGTGGGAATGTTCCAGCTGAAGGTGCTATTTAAAAAAAGAAGTCTGATGTAACTGGGAGAAGTTTGATTGGTATCGGTGTCAGAACACCTTCAGACCAACAATAGCGCTCTGATAATTCACTGTGAGAGTTTGTAATAGTGTGGATATGTTGCCACTATTGCACAAAATCATCACTTTCCCTTCACTCCAAGTCTCATTCTATTAATAGATTTCCCCCGAGTCACCGCTTTAGCTTCTATCATTCATTTAGTATTAACTACAATTCTGAATATTTTACATTGCTTTGTCTACGTTCTCTCAAATTTTTCACATTTTGGTAACTATACTATATACTTTTTTTGTAGCTGCTGCTTCAGAAGCACTTTATCAAAGCAAATCCCATGTTGCTTTTATTTCTAAATCATTATTTTAGGGAGGAAAATCCCTTTGTTGTGTAGCAGTGCAGATACGAAGAAAAAAAAAATAGTACTGCTTCTTTTGTTATTTCCCACAGGCCACAGATTTTGTTCTGGGTGTAGGTAAGGAAGCACTCAGTTGCTGCTGGATCCCTGCACTGCACTGCACTGACAACAAAATGACTAAATATTTAAGAATGTGCCAGTCTGGCAAACTGTGTGTCCAAGCAGAGATTTGACAGTGTGAAATAATAAATAGAAGGCCAACCACAAAAGGTTTATTTTTGCACAGGCCTCAAAAATAAATGCTCTGTATGAGAAACACAAGCTCTGAGTGTGTTTATGGCAAGCTCAGACATCTGAGACTTCCCACATTATCTTTGTTAAAATAATCAAACATGGGGTGTGTGGTCCGTGTTTTTTTTTTAATAACAGAATACTGTAGCCCATGACTGAAATATAACTTCAAAGGAGACAATTCATGCACCAATAAGGAAGTGTTTCAGAGAAATATTTTGATTTCAATAACTGAGGAGCAGCGTCCTGGAATACTAGGAAAATATATTCATGAATGTAAAAGTTGTGGCATGCATTGAAAGTAGGTATAGTCTTTGTTATGCAATTTGTACTTAATGGGAAGTACTGTAGCTGCACAGATACTGTGGGACTCATTTAGTGTTGAATAATGAAAATTGCTTTTGGAGTTTCACACACACTATGTTTTAAGATGCAAGTGACTTACAACTTTTTCTTAATCCAGGTTAAATTTAGCATTTTTAAGTCATCAAAAGAGACACCCGGCATACAACCAGGCATTTGTTCTGCCCAGTATTTGTTGTTGATTTGGAAGCAGACACATTCATATGTATATGTTTCGATTTATTCACAATGTTCTGTCTGACCACTGATACAGGTATTTGTGTGATTTTGTGTTTCTTTTTAATTTAAATCGGTACAGACAGCTGTTGTGGTAAAGAGGGAGCTGAGCGCAAAGGAAAGGCTGACAATTTATTTATCAATCCACGTTCCTCCCCTCACTTATGACTATGGACTGCAGGAGGTGACCAAAAGAATAAGATTTAACAATATAATTGGCAGACACCCTTTGGAACTTGCTCCAGGGTGACAAGCTTGATCTTTCGGGTAGAGACACTTTTCACATCAAAAGAACCAACTGAAGTGGTTTAGGCACCTGGCTGGGATGCCTCCTGGATGCCTCCAAGGTGATGTGTTTCATGCATGTCAAAGCCCCAGGACCACACCCACCAGGGAACACCCCTGAAAAACTGGAGGTGGTGGCAGGGGAGAGAGAGGTCTAGGTATCTCTGCTTAGATTGCTCTCCCCAGATTAGAGGTATGTGGATAAATAGATGCTGTATTTGGCCTGCCACTTGTTCTGCCTGACTCCTCTGCAAAAGAAGTTGCTACTTTAATCTCAGTGAGACTTTTTATTATTCGAATAAAATCTATTTTTTAACTTTAATAGACACACACACACACACACACACACACACACATACATATATATATATATATATATATATATATATATATATATATATATATATATATATATATATATTAGTTTAAAATATGTCGCTCATAGGGGGTCATATGATTGCTGGGTTTTTCTCTGTATCTATTATTGTAGGATGTACTGCACAATATAAAGCGCCTTGAGGCGACTGATTTGGCACTGTATAAATAAAATAAAATTGAATTGAATTAAAATAGATATATATAAATATATCTCAAAAAATACCTCAGCCACAGAAATTAAAGCCTGAACCATTAAATAATTGTCACAAAATTCTCATTTTATGAATCTGGAGTGTTTATTGAACATTCTGACAGTGTTTTTTTTTTTCTTTTAGAGAAGGCATTAAATTTTATTCTGCATGTATGACTTTTAATTTAAGTAATTTTTACTACATGTATTTTTGTGCAATTTATTGTTTAAACATTTATTCAGGTTTTTCACTAAAAGAAACACACACACACTGATGTTGTAGAGGTCTTACTTGGAACATTTGGTGTTGCAGGGTTAAGCACAAACCAGTGCCTGCATCCTCCACAGTCACCTCTAATTCTTGACCCAGTCTTAACCTGGCTTTTATTCTCCCCCACCCTGCCCATAGCTACTGCCCCACTCTATGCCTCCAACCATAAATTATTTTCATAACCCCTTTCCCAGGACACCAGATCACTGTCCAATTACCATGTTCATTTCAACTGTCTACTGGAAATCAACACCACAGGCTCTTGTGTAAGTCCAAAGGACATTCCAGACACAGCATGCAGCTGCTTTTAGTGTGACACTACTTGTGGAAATGTGTATGTGTGGCTGCTTTCCAGTGCATTTCTTCTTGTGCCACAATTAACAAGTACTGAGCCATCTTTGGCTTAGGCTCAGCTTAGGCTCAGCAGTGTGAATCACACTGACAGATATTGTTTAGGGATTGTGTTTCAAATAGAACATTGCCAGTATCACTACCATGGCGCACAAAGTTGTTTTCCTCAGCTATAGTCGAGCAGCAGGGGACAGGAGTAAAATGCTTCGTCTAATATGAAACCCTTGAGGTCTCTGAAGGATGATTCATGCTTACATAAACACTTTTTTTTAATATAGCCCATGGCGTTATGTTGTTTCGTTGTATCACCATGGTTAGTGAATGACGCATACATTGTACACTTCCTTTTATGAGACAAGCCTTTGTAAAACATTGTGTACAGTTGCTCGTTATAACTGCTGAATTGTGTGTAATTCTAATGAGTTGACCTCATTTATCTTACCTTGACTTCATCCACTCAGGTTTCTCTTCATTTTTGCTCATGCTCTTGTTAAACTGCTTGTGATTGGCTCGTCTTCTCAAACAGAAGGTTTGAACACTAGGTGGGTGGGGCCTTTGTGTTCTAAGGTAGAGCAGAGAGCACTGAGAAAGCCATACTAAGGATACATGTTCAGAAACTGTGTTTAGACAAGTTTGAAGCTGGAGCTTGCTCACAGGGACTACTTGCACAGACGCTGACCTCATTATTTGAAACTTTGGTCATGTTTAATATTAGCATCAATCTTTGTAGCACTATGACAGAAAGATCAAATGTTTTAAAGACAAAGTTGGATATAATGGACAAAGTTCGTTGAATATGGAGGTGCCAAGCAGGAAGAAAACAGGAAATACATGGATGTGATGAAGGAGGACATGCAGAGGGTTGGTGTGATAGAAGAGGATGCTAGGGATAGGGGGAGGTGGCAGATGATCCACTGTGGTGACCCCTTAAAGGGAGCAGACAGAAGAAGAAGAAGAAAATAATTATACTTTCAAGGTTTTCAAATCATTGGCGGTTTGAGTTACAGACCACTATTCTTTTACCCATTAAACTGCTTGCTAATACTGCAAGTATGTCTATGTCAATTGTTTTGAAAAGTGTTGGGGGCAAGCAGGAGAACAGGTGGAGAAGTGTTGGCCAGGGTATTGCATTAAGAGCATGGATGGAGGTCCTTGGAGCTTAACAGAGGTGAATGAAATTCTGTAACACAGCTAGCTTGAGAGCCTCAGTTCTCGTCTGTTAATATATCCCTAGCCTCCCTTCTCCTCTGTAGTCCTCACCTTTCAGTGTTTTTTTGTTCTTCCACCAGCTGTGACCTTTATTCAGACGGGTCAGCAGCAAGAGCGAGGCAGAGTGTGTGTGAACATGTGCGTGAGCATGTGTGTTGGGCGAGGGGGGGTTGTGGATGTGTGTGTTTGGACGAGGGAAGGCAGCAGTGGGAGTTCACATGGCACGAGGAGGAATTGTCACCTCACTTCATTGAAATAGGTTGCCATATGTCTTTGAGTTCAGACCAGGCACAGACAGTGTTTGTCCCAGGCTAGCTTCTGTTAGTGCCCCAGCTAAAATGAATCGACTCTTTTTAAATCTAGAAAGTAGACAGTTTTTGGCTTTTGATTTGCTCCCTTCTGGGATATTATAACAATCTTATAACCAAATCTTCAAATCTTCTTTCTATTTTATTTTATTACTTTTTTTACTTATGGATACAGTTTGAACTAATCTGCTTATGGGAAACCACCCGAAGAATTTTTCATCTGGTTTACATTTTTTAGTTTGTACTGAAGTGGATAACACTATCCTCAAATTGGAAACTTTTACAGAATTACTACACAGGTGTCCTTTGTTAGGGGGGTGCCCTGGGCAGTGCACTGGTTCAGATTTAGAGCTAATCCCTGTGGGGCTCTGTGTGGAAAAGAATTTTCACAGTAAAGGATGGAGTCTTGGGATACGGACTCAGAGGATTCGTGCGACTGGGGTGACTCGTCCGAAGAAGGACTGTCATCAGAGGAAGATGAGCTTGATGTCAAATATGATAAAGAGTAATGCAAATTCTGCAGTGATATGTTTCCTGACAGTGAATTTAATGTATTTTTATTATGTGTCAAGTTTGCATATGAAGTGATATGACAGATTTCAATCACCTCCATGATATGGTCTTTAAAATGAATGAAAATATTATTTTATAACTGCAACACACTTTTTTAGGATTTGATCAAAGTTTTAGTTTTGAAGTTGTGCCTGATTGTGTTGTGTGTTCATTTTCTCCAGGGAGGACATCAGGACAGCCAGTGTCATTGCTGCGGGCGCAGTCACCTGTCTAGTCATCGATCGAGAGTGAGTATCAATAAAATCAATCCTCAAGGGAACTAGTGACTTTTCTACACCGTCTGTACTCATTTACATAAAAAAATGGAAGCAGCAATGAAACAAACCTACAAATTTTGATTTTGCTGAAACATCAATCTGAGGCCACTTCTCCTCATTTGTGAGTGACCACGGCAGACGTACGCTTGATTTAGACCAGTGGTTCTTAACCTGGGTTCGATCGAACCCTAGGGGTTCAGTGAGTCGGTCTCAGGGGTTTGGCAGAGCCTCCACCATGACATGCATAGCTCATTTTGTGCACCAGTAAAAAAATCACATTTTATTTTCAGTAAAGAGGGGTTCAGTGAATGCGCATATGAAGCTGGTGGGGTTCGGTACCTCCAACAAGGTTAAGAACCACTGATTTAGACTTTAGATTGCAATGAATCTTTGCAGTGCCAATTGATGTAACCGTAAGCGGCTGACATCGTCATCAACATTTATGGTTGTGTTTCTGGTGCATTATGCACAATTCAATAAATTTGAGAAAGAGGTTGTGTATTGGGTCATGACTCAAGTTAATTGGCGTATCAACCTTTACAAGTGGCCACGACACATTTAGTTGGTGTTTGGCTCAAAACATCAAGGCTTTCCAAAATTCAATAAATTCAATAAATGTGTAAAAAGGTCCTATACTAGGTCATGAGTCAGCCTAATTGGTATCTCTTTTATATTTTAGAGCTTAAAAGGTGGATTTAAACGACAAACATTAAATTATACATTTACAAACTTTAATATATTCAGAGGGTGTGCTGTTGCAGCCATATTTGGTTTGGTATGACCAGTTTATGTTAGCTGGTGTTACATAATGCAAGCATTTGTATTCTGTAATACAAATGTTATTGCTTAAGATTGCTAACTTCATGAGTCTTCCTTTCTTGTTTTATTGCATTACACTGCAATCCAAAATGTACGATTTTAGTCTCTACAGGCACTGCATGTCAGCCGATGTTAAATAGTTCTGCTCTACATTAAATTTTAGAGATGATAAAAGTTACAAAAATGTAATCACGCCATCATCTAAGCCTGTTCAGTTTCTATGCTCAGGGCTCAGCTTGATTGTCATGTAAATATTTTCCACACACAGAACAAAGAAATTAACTTATTTGCATTTGCTTTGTTCAGTTATGCTGGAAAATCAGGTGTAACGTGTAACAGCTGCTATTTTCTCCACTGATTTTTACCTAATCACCCCACAGCACAACTATGTTTGTCTGAGCTCAAACATTTGCTATTTTCCCCCAGTTGCAATAATGCAATTTGACATTTAATTACAGTGTTTATAATGTTTAATAATAAGATTAAGCTATTGTATATCTGAAAAAGTTCATAACCGCTTACTTTGTAAGGAAACAGCCTGTCTAGTAGCATCGCTGTCTCTTGCATTAAAAAGAGACAGGCTGTGTGGGGAGAGGAAATGGTATCAGCTTTCCAAGGGGCTCCCTGTTGCCTTAGGGAACACAGCAGGCACAAATGGGCCATCCTCAAAGCTAGCAGAGGGGATAGTGAGTGAGTCATCCAGTGCAGGTGATTACTGCTGCCTTTCATGCAAGCAGCTAATGCTGCCACGGCCCACAACAAAAGTGGTTCAGTGTGTGTGTTTGTGTCCCTCAATCAGGCTGGTTTTGGTGCAGAATATTTGTTTTTGAATCTTTTGGTATTCTGTGCCCTTCTGTTTATTTTCTTGATAGCCGTGCATGTATGACGCTTAGAAATCAAACAGTGTGCACGCTAAGAGGTAAAATAAGGATAATTACAGGAGCCGTGGGAAAGCGAGAGAGAATAAAAAAAGAAGCAGCAGGGATTTACTGGCTCAGTCCAATAGACACTGTAAGCAGCAAAAAATTTAGAGAAAAGCTCAGCTCAGAAACAGCCCTAGCTAGCAGGCATTATGGTCTCAACAGGAGAAAACACCAGATGCAGTGCATCTTCTAGCTGACAGCTTGATGAGCCCTGCTTGAAAAGTGTCAGCTAGTTGTTCTTCCAGGATGTTTGGAATCGTTATTTTGCATAGAAACCCATACTTCAGGGAGAAATGAGGCGAAACACGGGAGTTATTTTTCATGTACCAAACCTCTCAAGAAATTTGGAGGATTTTATTTCAGCAAGTTATTATGCTGTGAAGCTTATTGTTCTGTAGATCCATCTAATATGCTCTAACTTATTCTTTAACTTTCAGAATTTGCACTTTTCTTCTTATCATAATTAGAAATACAGAGGAATAAAAATATGTTGTTGCTCTGCTTCTATCACCTAAATCACATAACGGATTTATTTAGTACTGAAAAAGATATAAAATATTGTCATGGGAGGAGTTTTACCTTGCATAATATCAAATGATTTCTTTATCACTCAACACAGTGCATTTTAAATTTTTAATTTATTCTCTAAATATTCATGCAAAGCGTCTACTTTTGTCTCAAAAATCTCTCTCACCCACCATCTGCTATCACACTGTTTTACACCTCTTTGGGGTAGATGTGTCTTCTCATCTGTCTCCTCATCTGCGATTTTTAGAGGCTTGTCTCTAAAAGCAGACTGATGAATATTTAATACTAACTGGGAGTGTGTATGGCAGATTGGTCATACTGTGTGCCAGCTTCTTATACAGATATAAGGTGCTTTGTTCCCTGTAACATAAGCTAACAGTAACAGATTCATATATTCTCATAGAACGAATCAGAATATATGTATCTTTGTTCCTTACACTTATGCTCCGTTACTTAGACCTGCATTGTCTGTAGATTTTCAAGCAAAACAGTGTCAAAAATTCTTCACCAGGTGCTGTTTTAACTGTTACTGTCTGTGTTTCAGTTCATTCAAGCACCTGATTGGGAGTTTGGAGGATGTATCCAGCAAAGGCCATGAGGATGCTGATGCCAAAGCCAAGTAAGACAAAGAAAAAAATCATTTATACTCAATGTGACTGCCTAGCGCCTGCAGTGTTTTGCAAAGAGACATGCTGGCCGGCTGTTAATGCTTCATGCCGTTACTTCTGTTATATAATAATGCAACACTCTGTGGGAAACAGAAAGCATGTGCTATAACCTTCACCTCTATTTCTGGAGGAATTAATATGTACTTTATCTTCACTATGGGAATAAGAGAATGGCTCTATAGAAGGCACTTTGGCATTGAGGTGGGAATCTAGAGGTTCTTTTAGCCATCTCTTGGCATAATCTGATACCCCACTGATTCAGCGCTATGTTGAGAGTCAAGGTGAGTAGAAACAAGAACCCAGTAATGACAGTTTACAGGGAGCCAGAGAGCAGGAACAGCTTATCCCATATGTAGATAGATTTAGAGAGACAGAGAGAACAAGAGGGTGACAAAACAGACTAGACGTCTGCCCGGTGCTGTGGATTTCTAGCTGAGAGTGCCAGTGATCTTTTGCAAGTCAGTGGCATGTTATCAGCAGAGCAGTCAAGAGCAAAACATACCACCCGGGTTGGAAAGAGGCAACAAGAAACCGATGGGTATAACAGGGGGCGTATAGTGCCCTACCTCTGGCTTTCGGCCCTGGCCAGATCTACTTTATGGCTCCACTGATGATTGTTTGGCCTGCCAGTAGATCTATGATAATATGATAACATAATATCCAGTGGCTGTCAGCATGAAATGATGATCAACAAAATATTGTTGTGTTGTATTAGCAGAAGCCTTGGTTTTACGATCCAAGCCTTTACAATGACCCACCATGAAGGGTACGGCATCTTGTGTGGCAAAATAAAAAGATAGGAGAGAATTACAGTGTTCTACATTATCATTCTATCACCTAGATAAGGTACCCGAGTTAATTAGGTCTATGTCACACAGTGTGACTTGCAGACAGCTTAAAAGATTCCTTAAGCAAGTTAGATTTTATGCAAAGGAGTAACAAGTTGTACTTTTGCATGACAAATGTTTATAACTTTATCATCGAGCCAGAACTTTAACTCAAATTAGACCCACTCACCTTCTCTGCTCTCTCAAATCTGTCTCATCACCCTGATTAGGGCAGCTTTCCCTGCTGCGTGCTGTGTTGTCTCTTGCTGGCACTCCCCACTCAGCAGAGCACGTTTGCTTCTTGTTGAGGAAAGCCTGAGTCAGGATCCCTCTGAGATGGAAACTGTCTCTAATTGGTCACAGTGGATAAGCATATTTCAGTAGTGCTGTTGCTGTACAGGAAATTACAGCTGCTCTCTGCGGGGCTGACAGGTCTTTTCTTCAAAGACTAGCTCCCTGTCACATGCTACTGTATATGCACACATTGTTTTTGATCAAGGCCTTGTTTCTCTGAGAAGGAGATGCTACATTCTGCACACTGCTACTGCATTCATAAAAACTTTTATGTATTCTGAGGTGAGGGGAGAATTTAAAGATAAGACAAAGTAAAAGAAAAAAGCTGATTTTCTCCAGCGATGCAGACTTAACAGAAAATGTCTTATAGAGAAATCTGAAATTATGTTGCCTGTATATCCCGAAGCTTTATGTTTACCCTTTATTTTTAAAGGAATAAAATCATCTAAAAATAATCTTCTGCTTCTTGTCGTTAAAATTATATTCGTCATTTAAATGCACCAGTTTTATTCCCCACTCTTTGCTATTAAAATGTTCTAATTGCCCTTTCAAGCAGCTATTTTCACTTACCTTTAATCAGCAATTTGGGCCCTTCTGGTGAAAAAACCCTGAATAACTAAAAATCTATGAGAAAATATGACCCACTATGACTCAGTGGGTCCTGTGTCTTTTGGGAGTGTAGATGTTCAATAAACAGGAATCACCCATAAATAAAAGTGACATTTAAGTCTGGTTTAAGGTCAGAAGTGCTTTCTTCTCCTCTTTCTGCTCCCCTGAGTCAGTCTGATGAAGAAGAACTGGGGCAAAGTAAATGAGGATAATCGTACACACACTCCCACACAAATACTGACACACACTTTAGACACACGGGGATTGCATCATTTTTATGACCTCATTCGTTCAGTGATACAGATTATCACCCACTGGGGTGCTACTTGACCTGCATAGGAACACTTTGTAATGCTGAGCTTGTAATGGATTTTCATGTTAGCAGTTATAAGTAACATCTTATTGCAACCTCATAATGCATATGCTGTCCAGGAAACTGTGTCAGATGCTGCTAAGCTCTCTGTGTTCACTTTTATTCAAGGTCATGGTTTAGACATCTATTTAAGGTGGATGTATGGTTTCAGTCTCACTGGATCTTCTCTCTGGTATCATATTCCAGTTTCCGGCATATCATGGCTCAGTTATAGCGACAGACGAGTGTAGTTTTCTGCTTATCTGAAAAAAACTGTATTGTGTGTCGCTGCTTTAGTGAATATCTCCACCATTCATTGATTCCTACAGAGACTGTGTGTCCTTGATTGAGACATTGTGTTTTGCCTGTGACAAAATTATTCATTACATTGCAAAGTAGCTTAATGGTTTTGTATTGTTACCCGCTTGAAGAAATGTTCATCATCTGTAGAGAATAGAAGAGACATTTATTCTTTCATTGCTTATCTAATAGAAAAGGGGCTCGTTTTGTGCTTCGGCTGTGAATAGCACAGTTTTTGTTCGTCAGCGCTTTGATACTGACTCCTTATAATGAAGCAACACTGCCATCTGCTGGTTGTATGTTTCTATTACTAGTCAACCGTTTTAGCAAGTGTAAAATTCTAAAGTGTAAAATTATATCCTTACTCTCATTTCTTCTATATCTTGACAGAATTTGCAAAACACTCCTTAATTAACTGCACCCAGACACATCCTAGTGTGTCATATTTGATGCGTGCAGTTTTTTGTGGGTTTTTGAGACGTCTATATCATCAGAGTGATCCCCCCCCACCTGAAAAACCTAAATAAATTGTACATTTTTAAGCAATTTTTCAAAAAGCCAGATAAAAAAGCAACTACAATACAAATTAAAATTCATATACTGAAATTAAAATGTAATAATTTTTCAAACAAATTTGTCAGATGGTTCAATAAACTCTTTAATTTTGAAAAATTTGTAATTTTCCTGCAATTATTTTCTATTTCAGGCTTTAAAGGGTTAACAATACTGCACCACACACACTAAACATGTAATCTTGGTTACTTGTCTCCTTTTCTTAAGCAGCACTTATTTTAGGATTTGGAGTGTTTTCTGGGCCTGCATCCAGGTCAGGGTCGGGGAGAAAAGATGAAAGGATAACCTGCAAATCTCCCATGATAGTGATAGTGTATACATATACACAAATAAACCATGAGTGTCCTGGTAACCTGATGTGTTTCTGAGAAACATCGTGCTCAGTAACCTGCCAACACGTGCCACCAAAGTGTCCACTGCTGCGTAGCTTAGGGAAAAGGTTTCCAGTGTAACTGATCTGAAACAAGTACAGTTAGGTTGGTTTTTTAACACTTGGAATAGCCAGATAAGCTAGAATGGCATAAAGCAAACATAATTTGACATTTTACTGATTACATTCAAACCTGGAACAGTTTTTTCTGAAAGTGTTTAACCTACATTTTTATAAATAATCTTAATCCCTGCAGCTCTGCGAAAGAAGGCTGCTGACTTATCTAAACACGTCTTCTGTGGAGGTGTTTTTTGATAAGACGCTGTCTACATAAACATACAGCTGAAATATTTTTGAGAGAGAAGAGGCCTGACGTCGAGGCGATAGTCTGTTATGAGTGACCCAGAAAGGCCTATCCAGGCTTGGATCTGTCCTAAGCCCACTGATCCAGAAACTGAGCTGATGAAACTCTGTCTGGATCAAACAATAACCAAAGAAGACACGGGGCATCTGGGGATAAGGGGTGGACACGTGGAAACAATCTCTACTGCCAGCATGCTGGCATGTTGTGGAGTTCAGTGGCAGAGCCAAGGCATGTCTTCTGAGCCAACTGAGTAGTGAGTAGCCTGTGTCACGGATGTCCCATCTTTGTTCTTTCCTATAAAGAATGGGGACAAGCTGGGGACAGTTAGTCTGTGATCAAAGAGAGGTCAAAGTAATTTGCCAGAAGACTAAACTCAAAAACATCCTGTTCATGTGCTCATATTTATACTCCACATCCTCAACAACATCCTTGATAGATTACTATGAGTTAAATCCTCTAAGATTTGCAAACAAATGAGCTCAAGGAGAGACGGATATTTTGTCTCAGGTTGTTGAAAGTGGATTATGTTTTCTTTCATCCTTCATCTCATCTCTAATCCTGTTCCCCTTCGTTCTTTCCTCCCCTTTTTCCTGGCCCCACAGGTATGAAGCAGAGAATGCGTTTTTCTTCAATCTAAACCTAGCTGACTTTAACATCATCGACACTCTGGGGGTTGGTGGCTTTGGACGCGTTGAGCTGGTATGAAGCGCTGCAGTGTGACATTAACATCAATATTCTGGACTTGTCTGACAAGCTGCACACGTTGCTATTTGAATCTCTCTCTTTCCCTATCACTGCAGGTTCAGCTCAAGAGTGATGAGAACAAAACATTTGCCATGAAAATCCTCAAGAAGCGGCACATCGTCGACACGAGACAGCAAGAGCACATTCGCTCAGAAAAGCTCATCATGCAAGAGGCCCACTCAGACTTCATTGTTAGGTAGCTTCTTAACATTAGCTTCCTTCAAATGCTCAATAAAGTTTGCTTATCTTACTAAATGTTTAATTCTGGTGATCAAAGTAAGAGTTATTAAAAATGACATTCCCTATTAAGACTTATTTAATGAACGTGGCCACAAAAAGAGCCTGTCATCATCACGGCTTTCTCATTTTGGCTTGGTTTGTATGTAATATGGCGTGGCTTAACAATAATAAAGAACTGCCTGAACAAGAATAAAGATGGGTGATACAAGCATCAGCAGGCTAACAAAACACAGCTGCAGCAGTAGTTAGGAGATTTAGGGAAACTGTGCTACCAATAACAGATGGTTCAATAGTCACCCTTGAATAATGAGGGCACGCACAATTTGCTTTCTATTAAGTACTTCTGACTTGGCACAGAGACTATCTGTGGAAGTGTTTCAGAAGTCATTTTTCTGATGATGTGGCACAAGACTGCACAGTTAAAACATGAAAAGGAGCATGACAAACACTGGCAGGGCAATCTTTAGTTGGATGAAATACATTTATTTATGCCAATTTCGGTCCAGCTTCATTGGTGTGCTTGTGGCCAGGAGCACCCTGGTACTGGCTATAAAACATGAAGGTGGGAGAGCGCTGATAAGGCGATACAAACAGTTCAGGAAGGTTTTAATAGAGACGAATGCTAATTTGTGTGCTGGAATACTGAATGACAAGATAACTCACAGGCTTGAGATGCGTGGCCCGGGAGACGTTTAGCAACATGACAATTTAAAAAACACTTTGTTTGGAGAGGTTTGTCCCCTCACTTGAATCCAATTAAACACTGTGGGAGTGTTTTGCTGTACACCGTTTATTGTGGTTTACTAAAATTATTTATGTATATTTTAACAAACGGTTTAAATACTGAATTATATCAAAGGAAATCCCTGGCCAACAACAGACTGCTTTATTTCAGTATTATCATGTGTTCAAAATAGATTATAGGATTTTTGGTTAAGAAGATGAATTCATTGCTTTTTTTTTCTGCCAAATAATAATTGTGTGGTTATGAATTTTACAGCAGTTTGTCATAACAAACACTTCTGTGTGTTTTCAGACTGTACAGAACCTTCAAGGACAGCAAATACCTCTACATGTTGATGGAAGCATGTTTAGGCGGAGAACTGTGGACCATTCTTAGAGATCGGTAAACTCATAAAGGATTAATGTCACACACACACACAATTATATGGCAAAGAAAGGTGTGGCAGTTAAGTTAATTCTGGTAAAATGATATTTGAGTCCCGCTTTGACCAACATATCTAGTGATTTTATAGCTACATTATAGGAAGTGTATCACATTTTACTATTTGATGTAAGTTACAATTTTCATCTTCTTTTGTCCTGCTGTGTTTACAGGGGTTCATTTGAGGACTCGACCACCAGGTTTTACACAGCCTGTGTAGTTGAGGCTTTTGCTTACCTGCATTCCAAAGGCATTATCTACAGAGACCTTAAACCAGAGAACCTTATATTGGACCACAGGGGTTATGCCAAACTGGTAAGAGATCAACATGGAAACACAGAAACCTCTAACTTGGATGTTTGTGTGTTTTTGAGAGATGATGCAAGAAAAGACAAATGCCATCTTTCTCTGATGTATGTGAAATGTCAAAAATCATTTTGAATACTGCCACACAATGGCTTTAAATACAAGAGTAATCACAGTGTGAAGAGAAGTATAACTAAGGCTATGCTAGGTTTTGTTTTTTGAGGTACACCAACATTCCCTTTTCTCATCATGGAGAAACCAGCTTGTCTCTTTTGGCAGAGCAGCCAGCAGCTACTCAGCTCAGCTCCAAACCTACCAATGCCACTATTTCCACCATTTTCATTCCACCATTAGTATGCATAAGAGTGAACATGATCTGATAGGAACCAAAATACCATGAGAAGGATTTTAAGTCAAATTTTTCTTTGCCTGATTATTACAATCTGACAACAAAATCGTTGTTTTCTTTAGGTGGACTTTGGCTTTGCCAAGAAGATTGGGTTTGGGAAGAAAACGTGGACCTTCTGTGGGACACCAGAGTATGTAGCACCAGAGATCATTCTGAACAAGGGCCACGACATCTCAGCTGACTACTGGTCTCTAGGAATCCTTATGTTTGAGCTCTTAACTGGCAGGTACTCACAGGCCCGGGCTTGTCCTTAACAAACTTGTTTATGAAGTTTTTGCGGTAATACGTGCAAAACTTTTTGGAAATGTTGAGTCACCTGGTGAAAATTAAAATGTGTCAGCTCATTGCACAATTTATACAGATTACATAATTGTCCACACTTAAGCACGTTTTACTTCAAAGTAATATGTTGGCCTCTGTTGTGTAGTCCTCCATTCTCTGGCCCTGATCCTATGAAAACCTACAACATCATCTTGAGAGGAATCGACATGATTGAGTTTCCAAAGAAAATTACCAAAAATGCTGCCAACCTAATCAAAAAGCTATGCAGGTAAGTGTTTGTGCCTGTAGACATTTATACATAGTAATTCATTTAAGTGGTCTGCGTGCTGAATCATACATTATTTTTTCTACTTCAGGGATAATCCTTCTGAAAGACTGGGAAACTTGAAAAACGGTGTCAAAGACATCCAAAAGCACAAGTGAGAAAACGCATTACTCAGTCCAGACATTTGTATTAATTTGCTCGCTGCACAATGATGAAGTAATGCTATTTTTTCTTTTAGATGGTTTGAGGGCTTTAACTGGGAAGGTTTGAAGAAGGGGACACTGACACCACCTATTATCCCTAATGTAAGTGCACGCTGTGCCCGTTTTGTTTTGTTTTATAGCCACTCAGTTGTTGCTTATTCTTTATGTGAAAGATTATTTTGTGTTTCTACCAGGTCACATCAGCAGTTGACACAAGTAATTTTGACAGCTTCCCAGAGGACAATGAAGACCCACCTCCTGATGACAACTCCGGCTGGGACGTTGATTTTTGAAGTCCTTCTCTTCTCTTGAAACCAGAAGAAACTCTTCTTTTGTTGGCTTTTAATGGTTTGGAGGTCATTAATGGAGGACATGGCTGTGTTGTAAAAAACAAAACTGCATTAAAAATGAAAGAGAAGATATGGAAAAGAAGATTAATAGTTGGATGGCAAACCCTCTGGGTCACCGATATGCCTTTATTTCACTGTGGCTCTGGATCAAGCATTTATAACGGGACTGCTGTAGCACTTCTCCGGTGTTGTTTTACACTTGGGTCTAAAAGGCAAAGAAAGTGCAGGGATACAAACACACACATACACACACAAATACAACAGAGGCTGATAACGGAGCCAGGTTTTCCCATGTATCATGAAGAGATGCTTAGTGGATGGATGAATGTTTTAAAGTTTGTCGAAGTTTTGCTTCGACGACTAGAAAAAGGAACTATATGTTGACAACCGCTCAAAAGAGGAAGGGGATGGTTATTGGTTTTTCTTTTTTTATAGATTCATTTTTCCGCTATAGTTAGTGAAATATTTGGTGGACTCTGGGAGGGGATATGATGATACTGCAGTTGGTCCCTGGTTATCAACATGCAGCTGCTTTCTGCAATCTGTAATGCTTTGTAGACATCTACACACTACAGATGGCAAGTGCAACTGGTACCAAGTGCTCACGACTAATCTGAATGTCACAGATTTTTCTTCTTATTGAAAAAACACAATATGAATGGTACATAGTATTTGAATTTACGAGATCTGTTGTCACACATGAACGTTACCGGGCTGAAATCAAATACTTAGTACAATTTATGTGAGATTAATCTACCTTGAAAAGCACAAACACAGTGCATTCAGTGGAAAGAGATGTGACTCTTAAAGTGCCCTCCTTAAAATTTTAATGAATCACACACCGGCACACGTGAAATGTCAGCTAGTATTTCCATGAAGCAATGTGTCCTTATGCACTTAAGACCATTAACTGAGAAAATCCACAGTTATAGCTCATTTTAAGCTTAAGTCGAGGTCACACTTTTCTGTTCTATAATAGGCTTTAAAAAAAATCATGCATACGAATGCTTCTCTGCCTACATCCATCTTCAGTTTGTTTTTCAGTCACTTCTTGAATCCACCCAAACCGGATGTCCTCTCCTGTATAGTACTGACATAACTGTGAACATGGTTTTGATGTCTTTGGTGCTGTTGATAAATTATAATAAGCGATGTTGAGATGACAGTACTGGTTCTTTGTTTTTGTATTGTGATTTCTTTTGTGCTTGATTACTTTGTAACGTACTTGACAGCATTCTTTAGAGAAAATTGGAGACTTGTATAAATTTGTGAACTTGATCGATGATTTATCACTTGTGGTATTGTCGAGGTTTTTAAACAGGTTTCACCAGTTTGAGTTCAGCCATGGAAAAAAAAAAATCATCCTTCTGTTTATTTGGAACTCAGATTTACCACATTTGCATTATCATAAGACTATCTTGACTTAACATAATCGTGTGGGAATCTTGACGTGTCTCCTAGAGGCAAAAAGAAGCTAAATAAATAAGGTTATATTTTGTGAAATCTCAACTTTGATCACCATGATCTCTCGCCCAGCTCGTCACCTCTTGCGTCCAAAAATCAGAACATGAAGTCAAAAGGAATGTAAGTGCCTTAAGTCAATGGCATACAAAATTTACATCACAAGACCTTTTCGATGCTGCATGAACACATATACACCTCAAAAACGTATGTGTCCTCTTAGATGGCTGCTTTTCATCCTTTCTTATATCTAATAAATACATTAATCACCACAAAGAATTTCTAGTCATTTGATGGCTGACAAAATATATGAAATAAATTTCCTGCTTACGTCTTTGATTTATGTCACGGGAACATTTAAAATGATTAAAAGCTATCCTACCTGATATAGCTGCAATGACATGCTTTTCTCCACATATCTAATGTGATCCTTTGAAGTCAATCACTACTGGCCTGATACAAAACACCAGTGAGCATTAACCATGGCTCAGAAAGACCATCCATCACTTGTTTCAGTCAGTAAATTTGAGCTTTTAGAGACGGCAAGAATGATTTGCAGTTATGAATATTTTGCCAATACAAATATGGAAATATTTTTATCACTGTTGACAGTCTTTGACAGAATGTCAGCATTAATCATATCTCATCACGATTCAAATTCTCTTTTCACTGTTTGGCTCAAAAGCTCAAGTCACATTTCACCCCACTAGCAGGAGAAGTTTGCCTTTCAAAAGCTTTCTTATCCGTTGTAGTTTACGGTCATTGTTTGCTTGTGTCTAGGCAGCAAATCTATGTGGTAAAGCTTGAAGAAACAGTTAAAATTCATCCTTTTGATGATATTAAACATGTATTGCAAAGCCTTTCTAGGCAGAAAGTTCTGAAGGCAAAATTCTCCTATGTGCATTCACCCCAGGAAGCCAAACATACATATTATATGAATCTATTGATGGAGAACTAAACACAAGAAGAAATCTTAATTCTAAACCATAAGTGTTTTACTGTGTCGGGGGAGGGTGGGGCGGTATGTTTTCACAAAGCCTTATGTATGTCATATCTTACCAAACCACTGGTTTTCAGTTTTTATTGACTGCCTTCTGCAAAGTTACCTGATATTTGCCTTGTGTTGTTATTTTTCTGCTGTAAGTTATTTTGCAGAGTGCCACGTGTACGATTTTTAAAATTATAGAGTAAAAACAATACTTTTGAGTCGTGTGTGCTGTGTTCTTTCAAACTTGTGCTGTGCAGAGTTCGCTGTAGTTGCCACAAGGGGGAGCTAATGGTAAGACTAAAACGTCCCTTCACGCAAGTGCCTCAGCCTCATGTGAACCGCTTAAAGTTCCCAGATATCTAATAATCACTCCAAGAGTTTAATGTCATCCACTTAGTGGTAAGTGCGGATGATTCAGCTTTTCTGGCCTCCGTGTTGTTCGCACAACAAATCTGTTTGGGGCACAGCGAAATGGCTTCAGCCATAACAACAGGGTGACACTTCTGTAAGATCAAAGGGGATCAAAGTGCATCAAAGGAGCTCACCTTACCAGTACTGACATTCAGTAAAGTGGAGATAAAAGCTCTACTTCAAAAGATATGCAGCAATTCAAATGCGCAAAGTGCTAGTGTGTTTGTCAGGTGTCTATGGCGCATCGCTTATTCTACATACGCAGACACATTCTCACACTCAAACTTCGGATAAAGGCTCCGTGACCAGCAGATGACGTCCAAGTGCTAAAATATCTACAAGGAGAAACTTAAGTTCTTGTTTTTTATTACGCACTTCAGCATCTGAAGGGAGCTCTTCTTGCACAGCGAAAACTGACTATTCACACACAGAGTGCAAAAAGTTTTGAAATCAGTGTCACTAAAGGTTTAAGGTGAATAAATAAATCATAAGAGCTCACGTCTCTCAGGAAAGGGACGAGAGATAACAACTTAAGGACAAACACGGAGACAAGTCTACTGCGACGTGGGGTTATCAGCAGATTCACGTGGAAAAACAACATTGAGACTTAATTTGAATATTCTCAAATACATTTCTCCTTCTAGAAGTGGTGGAGCCTAAAGGGTCAAAGAGCAGGGTAGATCAGAGTCCCCTTTAATCTCAAAGTGCCAGTCAACCCTGAAAGGCCTCTCCACGGAAGTCCATTAATTCGGCAAAGTTTTCACACCCCTTAATGGTCTGCATATCCTACACATTGATGTCCGCAACTGGTGTAATCAAGCACACGTTGGGGGATAATTGCCCCCTTTGCAATCAGAGGGATCAAATGAAGTAGTTAATCGACTTAAGTAACTTCAATCGCTGTATTCACACAGCCAAAGGGCAGCCAAAGGATGTCATAGAAACTGGAATAAGCAAACGGCTTCTACAAAGATGCGCAGGTAAGTTGTCAACAGCAAATCAAATGTGCTACACATTTAGAAAAACGTCATTGTTTTTATTTTCTAAAAGTATACCTATAATAGTTTGAAAAATATACTACCCGCCTATTTTGATAACTTCACAGTAATTGCGAAAATTAAAATAAGTGATCAATAAAATGGAGAAAAAAACTCTTCCCGATGTGTGATTTATGTGTTTAAAATATATTTTTTTATTTTGTCAAATGTTGTTGAGTGATTGTTTAAACAAAGAGTGATGAATTTATGAGTAATATTTTTAAAACACATCGAAAAAATATTAAAGAAAACATTATTTGTCATCTGTATTTTTTATGTTTTTATTTATTTATTTTATACTGACTGGATAGAGTAAGTACTGACTGGTGGTGGTGGGGTTATTTCCCGTGTACGACACTGTGTGATGGGTATTCAGACAGACTTTGCAGGTCATTATCATCACAAACACTGAAACGTTGTCCTGTGCAGGGAGCAGAGATGGCCATTTCCGTACAGTGGGTCTCTGTTTGAAATTCCACCCCTCCGCCTTTGTAGTGCACAGCGAGGGGCGGGAAGACAAACAGGTCCACATGTATAAAGAGAGATCACCCCAGGACTGCGAGTCAGGAGACCTTCAAACATCGTTCCGAAACTCTCTGGAAACTTTAGGATTCTGGATTCAAGGCCGTTTTGGACTTTGTCACTCTTCTTCTCAAAACAAAAGGAACATTCTTATCGTGTGTTTGCCGGAGAATTTAAGAAAGGAATCATGAAGATGCCTTCAGTCCGCGGCTTCTTGGCTGTGTATCTCACGCTGTTTGGATACCTTGGGGACGTTTACGCGGGCACAGTCCTGACGAACTCCAACGCGATCAAAAACCTGCCCGGCGCCCCGATTGTTAAAGATACCGATAGTGTCAGTCCGAGTCCTCGAACATCACCTTCTGGTAGTATGGGACACAAATTACCCGCAGACACCTTGCAGGTAATTAACTCAGCCGTGCGTAAAAGTCAAGTCTGTGCACCACAATAGTGGTTCGCTTGTATACGTTGTCACAGAAATCATAGCAATATACTTCCTGAAATAATATTTTTGTTTTTAATCATATATAGACCTCAAATGTTTGCACGGATGATGAAGAGTGCGGAGGTGAGGAATTCTGCAACGATGCTCGAGGCGTCTGCCTACCCTGCCGTAAGAACCGAAAGCGTTGCGCAAGGGACTCGATGTGCTGTGCAGGAAACCGCTGCAGCAACGGTGAGCTCATTTCAAATCAGTAATGACTTTTGGTTTTCTTTTAGTCATCTTGTATCTGTATTTTTGTTTTTAATTTCACTTTTTACTTATTATTTATATCTTAATTAACTAAGGGCTTTTTTCTGTAGTGTTAATTGCAAACCCTTAATGCAGTTATTTATTTTCCTCTTTTACCTTTTCAGGTGTTTGCCAGGCAAATGACTTAGATGTCGCAGATGTAGCCCTCACAACTGGCTGGCATACACACAACAGTACCATGGAGCATCGAGCCAAGAAGCCTCCCACTGCCCATAGCAACCAGCCTCATGCTGTCAAAGGTAAGTGTGCTGTTAAAAATCACTGGTCTTATCTGTTGGGTTCAAGTAGCAGCAGTAGGAAGTTTTCAGGGAGGTCTGTTCCATGTAACATATTTTCACTTTGTTCTCTCCCCCCCTCATCTTCAGGCCAAGAGGGGGATGCCTGCCTGAGATCTGCAGACTGCTCCGAGGGTCTTTGCTGTGCCAGACACTTCTGGTCTCGCATTTGTAAGCCTGTTCTGACAGAGGGCCAGGTGTGTACGCGCCACCGCAGGAAAGGCAACCATGGCTTGGAGCTGTTCCAGCGTTGTGACTGCGGCGAAGGGCTGGCCTGCCGACCAGAGAAAGGAGAGCGAGATCACACTGTCAGCAGGACTGCAGCCCGGAACCTACACACCTGTCAGAGACGCTGACATGAACGAGTGGACGCACACAGAAAGAGAAACCTGCACATTCACACGCCCAGCAAAACCCACAACTCAGTCACAGACACTGACAAACACTTGCATACACAAGAGATGCTGACACACACGCACACACACATGCACACAGACACCTAAGACTTTCTTTCCTGCCAAAGTTGTTGACAAAAACACATCAGCCGAAAGGGTAGACATGATTCCTGGAAAAGTGATACACCCAGAGGGATACAAGAGTGCAAGATGGACTGAATCAATTCCCTTTCAGCAGATGAGGAGTCGGAAGTTAGGAAGTGACATTTCAGAAGTATTAGGAAGATCAATGCATGTCATTGGTAATGGCAGAGCTGTTTTGTTTCTCTTTTTATGGAACTTCATGCCACGGTTATTGCAGTAAATTACTGTATTGTACATATTTCCCTGGATGTGGCACTTAAATGAGCTATTACATTCTGTCAACACCAGTATTATAAAGACATGGTGCTGCATGCATTGTAAATGTGTTATATATAAAGTTTTATAAGAAATGTTATCTATTGAAAATTTGAATATATTTGTTTTATTAAATGTCACGTGATAATCTTAACGCAGTCTTTATATTCCTCTTTTTTATATTTGAATCTACTGCAGTAAAAAAAAAAGGGGGGGGAGGCTTTATGTAGGATTTGTAGAGGTTTCTTGCAAAAGTTAAAAAATAAATGATTTAGTCTTCATATAGTAGCTGGTACACAGAAAAGTAACAACTGTCCCCTTCTGAAAAGCAAAAGTTGTTTGAAGGATGTCTGCGGTGCTTAACCTGGCCCAGGATCACTAAACACAGTTGTTACAGGAAGAAATACACAGACCCAAAAAGACTTACAACAAACATACAACTGTAATGAGTTACTACTGGAGCCTCAACACGTCAGGTCCTGCTGTGAAAGCAGAGAATGGTCAATCAAGGCTATATCATCAGATGAAGGCAACCCACCATATCAAATGATGCCTACAAAGAGGTAATAACTAAGTATCTGTGTCCTGACGAATGTGTTTGCCACCTACACCTTTGGTGTTGGCTAGTTTCTAATTATGATGCTCCTGCCTTCATGTGCAGCAGAGCAGATAGCTGGCTATCCAAGTTAAAGCCTTTCATTATTTCATCTTACTCAATCTACACAAGGCTTCATGAAATGAGGTGCACCACAGCACTTTTTATGTGATGCAACAACAACAAAAAAAGTTCTCAGTCTCTCCAATTGCACAGCACACCCCATTTCCTGGCTGTTGCGCAATAGATGTGCTCTAATATGTAGGCTATGAATCCACTCAAATACACCTTGGTACCTGTAATTAGACATGTTTAGATTAGAAGATGGTGAGGAAATTACTATACTTTTTGTTTGATTCTCTTGTCAGATCAAAAGACGCACAAGACACTCTTGATATCTGACCGAGCCAGATAACCTCTTCATCTGTTTACATCCACAGACATTAGCTTGAAGTTTGTCCAAAGAAGACAAGGTGAGGTTTACTCTGGCTGTCATTGAAGATTAGTGGTGGAAAAACAAAACCATGGGCTCAAATCTTGCACTAAGGTATTTGTGTGGCTCGCTCTAGTTATTTACTTTAATTTTAATTTAGATTTACCTCAACCTTTTGGAAAACAGTTTTTTATGTATTTAAAAAAACATCAGAAAACACGAGAAAGCTCTCATTTTGATGGAAATTAATAATAGTAAGATAGTATAACAGAGCCAGAAGCCACTTTCCCAGCATAATGAGAACAGTGTTTATAATCCTACCTACTAACTACACTACTCACATTTTCTATGATTAGGGTATAGTAACTTTGTGGTGCTGCCATTTTTG